GTTTTCACCATGTTAACCAAGCTAGTCTCCAGTTCCTAACATCAGGTGATCTGTCTGCCTTGGCCTCTAAAAGTGCTGGGATTACAGGTGTGAGCCACTGTCTCTGGCCAAAAAATCCATTTTATACATATACACTTGCGATGAATAATCTGAAAACAAATTATAAAAATTTCACTTTAAATAATACCAATGGCAATAATATGCTTAGAAATAAATGTAATCAAAGGGTAAGACTTAAAAGGGGAAAATTATAAGACATTGCTTAAAAAAGTTAAACAAAGCCCAAATAAAAGTAAAAACATATCATGTTCATGGATTTGAAGCCCATACTTGTTAAGTTTGCCAAACTACACAAAGCAATCTACAGATTCAATGTTATTCCTATGAAAATCCCAAAGACCTTGGGACAGAAATGGGAAAGCTGATCCTAACGTTTATATGGAATTTCAAGGAATCCTGAAAAGCCAAACAAATTCTGAAAAATAACCCCAAATCTGGAGGTTAGCCAGGCACAGGTGTGGGCACCTGTAACCCCAGCTACTTGGGAGGTTGAAGCAAAAGAATTGCCTGAACACAGGAGGCAGAGGTTGCAGTGAGCTGAGATCACGCCATTGCACTCCAGCCTGAATGACAGAGCGAGACACTGTCTTAAAAAACAAAAAACAAAAAACGGAAAATATACAGATAGCAAATAATTACAAAAAGAATGTTCAACATCATGTCTCATTAGGAAACTGCAAATTAAAATAATGCTGAGATGGGGAGAAATGTCAGATATAGGTGAAGGGGAGGAAGGCAGCAAATCACACTGCCACATGTGTACCTATGCAACTATCTTGCGTGTTCTTCACATGTACCCCCAAACCTAAAATGCAATAAAAAAATTGAAAAAAAAAATAATGCTGAGATACCACTGCACACCTAGTAGAACTGTAAGACTCTAAGAAAAGCTCAACAATAACAATTGGAGGTTGAAGAACAATAGGTATTGTCATTCACTGTTAGTAGAATGCATTAATTGTACAGCCACTTTGGGAGATAGTTTGGCAGTTTTTCCCAAAGATAAACAAGGCTTACCTACAATCCAACAAATGCGCCCCTAAAATGTGTATGTTTAGACAGATACTTTGATCGCACCATTCCTCTGCCCTATTGTATATGTAAAAATGCAGATGCACTAAGCCAGACTAAATTGTGTATTCAGTGGAAGGGTGATCAAGGATTCAAAAGAATGCAACCTTTTGTCTCTTATCTACTTCTGATCTGGAAGCATCCACACTTCCTGCTTTTAGTTGTTCCGCCTTACTGGATCAAACAACTGTACATCTTACACATATTGATTGGTGTCTCATATCTGTAAAATGTAAAAAAGCTCTACCCTGACCACCTTGGGCACAGGTTGTCAGGACCTCCTGAGGCTGTGTCATGTGCACCATCATTAACTTTGGCAACATAAGTCTTCCAAATTGCGACCTGTCTCAGATATTTTGGGATCACAATCCACAATCATCTCGGTGTGAAAGTTAACTACAGCATTCAGTAGAGACGTACTATACAGGTTTGTAGCCTGGAAGCATTAGGCTACACCATATAACTTACATGTGGAGTGGGCTACACCATATAGGCTTTATAAGGCCATTCTGAGGTGTTTGCAGAAAAATGAAATCAATAACGACAAATTTCTCAGAAAATTTCCACCTCATTAGGAGATGCTTGAGTGTATTTTAAATGGTTGAAGCCAAGGAGGAAAAAAAAAAGAAACTCAACACCTGTTGTTGTTTAATAACAAGGCTTAACAGAGTTAACATATTTCATCTAATCTAAGACGCCAATGATTAAGACATCATTTTATGCACCACCACAAATAGGTTGCCAATGAAACCAACTTTCTGAATAACAACAAAAATGTGAATTTACTTCTAGTGATGCCAGGAAAGTAAAGTGAAAGTGAATTATGGTGTTGACATGTTAAAGCAAAAAAAGGAGAAGGCCATTAGACTGAGGTCTTCCCTAAGCAAATGGAGACCAAACTTGGAGGCATTTAGACTTAAAAAAAATTAAACCAACCACAGTCAATGACAAAATGCGCAGCCGCCAGTTGGCTGTATAACTAGGGACACTGAGGGAACCATCCGCTCAACAGGTGGTCCCCCAGATGGAGCCAATGAGAAACCTCACTTAGCTGCCACCGCTAAGAGCTCGAAGCCCCAAGCCCTGTTTTCTGTTCTGGTGCTTCAGCCGTGATTCATGGATCGTTTCTTTCCTCAAACAAACACCGTTTAAGTTTACTCTTCCTGAATTTCTTCTAACCCCTAAACCCTAACCCCTGACCCTCACCCTAAACCCTAATCCCGACTATAGGTTAGTTTCCGTGTTTGCACTGATAGGTCAGTGTTGGTTATTAACACGCTGTATTGGCGGCGTAGGTAGCGCAGACTTTATAGTAACATCTGGTACTGAGGCCTTGCAGTCGCATCCCACGAGTACTGTGGGTGTCGCCGTCACAGTTCGGATGTCACATCTGCCTTAGGAACGCTCTATCTGTGTTCTGAGGCTGTGGTGTGGACCTCATACTGCAGCCCCCTGGCTTGGCTGGGAAGAAGCTGGGAGCGCAGAATTCAGAGGGGCTTTTGGTGTCCAGTTTTCCACACCGAGACCTTCTTACTAGTCTCTGACCCTCAGCAGCCAGGGCTGCAAACAGGAAGGATTTTACTCACAGTGGACGCGGGGTCCCCGAGGTCTGTGCTAAGAACACTGCTCTGCCATTACATTGCCCTCGGGTCTGTGCTGGGAAGAACGCAGCTCCGCCCTCGCGATGGCTCCGCCACCCTGCCCCGGAGTCTGTGCTGAGGAAAATGCAGGTCCGCCCTTGCAGCGGCCCCCAAGGTCTGGATTGAGGAGACGCAACTCTGCAGACCGCCGCGACGCCACGCACGCCGGCGTGCTTGGGCGCCCCCTGCTGGCTGCCAGGCACTGCAGGTCCCTCTTGCTGACGGTGCTGTGCCCACGCTCCTGCTGGCAGGTAGGGCCACTACAGGGCCCTCTTACAGTGTGGTGACCGGCATCTCCTGCTGGCTACCAGGGCACTGCAGGGCCCTCTTGCTCAGTGTCACTTCCTCTAAGGACCCTCCCTGGAAATCTGTCCAGTAGAAGGGCCCCCACATTGCTCTTTACACCTCTGTCCCTCGAGGTGCTGCTGTCCTAACTGTTGGTCTTCACTGATGTTCCAAAGTCATGGCCTCTCCTCGGGTGGGTCCTCAGGAGGACAAAGCTCTGATTCTAACCCTAACCTTAACCTTGTCCTTAGACTTTGACCTGACCCTAAACCCTAATCTCTTCCTTGGTCCCTCATTCTGACCCTTACTTCGACCCTGACTTTGATCTTGATTGTTAACTTTATGATCTATCTCTAATCTTACCATCTAGAACTAAATAACTGTACCCAAAAGCACTTTTGAATTATATAACTTCTTTTCCTTGAATTTTCTAAGGACATCCTAAAGGAGATGTCATTATGTATTTTGCAGTCCTTCTGAGTGCTATGGTTTCAGATAAGAAGCTCTAATACTTTGCAAGCCATGAAAAGTTCGCAGAATAATAGTACTGAGTTGTTAGAAATGCATGCTGGCATTTACGATAGTCATTGGTGTGTTCTTCAAGTATTTTCAGTTCATTTTTTATGAATGCACTCTGACTGTTCCAGGCCACCTAATTAAATTTTTGCATGGCCACATGACTTCTTCTTTTTTTTTTTTTTTTGCCAGTGAAGATGAGAAAAAAATAACGTGACTTTTTCAGGTGAAATCTCCAGGAAACAGAGTTCTATGGATCATGCTTTTTCTCTTTTCTATAGCAATGGAGATCTTACTGATGGAACCTCCCTCAGCCTGGATTCCTGTGTTAGGATGATATAGCACAGGCCTACCTCTCAACTGCCCCATGATGAGATGTAAATAAATGAGAAAGAAGATTTTTGAGTCACTGAAATTTGGAGGTTGTCTGTCACTGTGGTTTAACATAGCCCTCGATGACTGATGCAGGCCTGAATAATGAATCAGAACTGGATCTGGACACATGTGCGGAGCGCTCCAGGCTGAGTAAAATTCAAGCCTTGTCTCAAAGATAACAGTGAGCACGACATGTTATTGGGGTGGGTGTGGGATAAATAAGGTATAGCAGGTGAGAATGAGAAACTCAACTTTAAAAGACAGTGCTAATTTGGGCTGTGGAGAGATTCAAATGCCCTGCTTAGCATTTGAGAATATAATGGTTGAGCAAACTAACTAAGAACCCTAAATGAAGGCTTGGGATAAATATTTGATGGTATCTAATATATCAAATTTTTCATCCTAGAATGGGCAGTTTTTGACCCCATTCTAGGGAAACATCCAAAAGAAGAAAGACTTGCAATTCTCCAACAACCCACACTGAGAGACTTTCCTGCACTTCTGACGTGTGGCTAACACTCCTCACCTTTCATTCTGTCATCAGTGTTTTGGGGAAACACTTTTAACTATGACTTACAGGTTATTAAGTGCCCTTATAATTCTCTCCAGAAGTGGAAAAGACTAATGATGATGGTGTCTGAGCTCACAGTGGCAAGTGGGCCTTTGTGCTCAGCAGCCATGTGGCTCATCTGCTGGGTGCTTACTACATACGCTGTTCTACAACACTGCTTAACACGAGGGGAGAATCTCCTGATTCAGGGTTTAATTACTCACCTACTTCTTTTTCTGCCCTCTTGGGCTCCTAAAATGAAAAGAACCCTGGGGTAATAAAATAAGTCAAAGGGTTGCCAACAACATCACGGCAAAATAACGATTCCTGAAAAATCCCTGGCCTTCCATGACAGCCTTGACTGGGTTAAGTCTCAATGTGCTGATAGTGGACATGGGAGCGTGAAGGTGGTGAAAACGTTCTTATTAAAGGACTTCCACCCAGATTGCAAGAAAAGAGAGAGGAATGGAGATGGAAGCATGAGTCTCTACAATAAAAGCAGATGTTTTGAGATCAGTTATATTTATTCTGACAAAAATTAGAAACAGAAACCAAAGTTTAGCCAGAGGCACATGTGGCACAGACAGATCTAAACATTTCTCCCTTATATTAATACAGATACCAAAATTACAAATAAATATATTCCAAATAAAACAAGTATCTACAAAATTTAATGAATAAACCCTGGGGTCTATAGTAGTATTTAAAGGCGATCTCATAAACAGGTTTGGTTTTTGAAGGTTAGAACTGATGGTGTAAAGAATTCATTTTGTTCTAGAGAGAGAAAGAAAGGAATTTCTTGGGTTCCTTCAGGAATGCATCTGACTGCTTCATCTTTGTATGTTTGAACTATGCATGTGGCAGAAGAAAACATGAGGATTTAACAGAGTTAAGGTGTGAAAAATCACTGGTTTCTCGAAGATGCCTGGGATTCTTCTGCTGGAAAAATAAGTTTGTTGAGAAAAAAAATCAGTTGGAGGAGGTTGTTATTGAAGTGAAGCAGAATTGTTTTTACTGCTAGTACCCCACAACTTACCCACTCTGTAGTGTGGAAACAAATTATTCATGCACAAGGTCCTCTTACTGTTCCTGGAATCCAGTGCAAATAGAACAGATTAGCTTTTCTCCCTCAGAACACAACCACTAAAAACGTCCTACCTCAGGTGAGATAGTGCATAGTTATTTTCAAAAGACACTGAAAAATGATGGATACAAATGTTTGCTACAAAATTAATACATGCTAGAAACAGAAGCATCTGGGTCGCAGCTTTATTACAGCTACCTGTGTTCCCCTGTCACTGAGATTTTTTTAAAAGGCCAATAAAATCATTCATAGCGTGGGACAGGGGAAGTTGAAGGATGAAAAAGCCAGGCACAAAAGGATTACAGAATTTCAGTCCCTAAGGAGGCAGCTTCATGCATTGCATGTTGCTGTGTGCAAGGTGAAGGCTTTCCTCCCTTCCTGACATTCTGATGCTCTATCTCTGCCTCTCAAGACATTCTGATGCTCTATCTCTGTCCCATCTCTCATGACAAATTTCTTCTTCATTCTTCATGATGCAGCTCCTTTACTCCTTCCTTAAGGATGTCTATCTGGCTCTATTTTGGGTGACATGTTCCTTCTGCATCTCCCAGAGCCATCCTGTGTATGTTAGCTACTGCATTTCTTTGCATCTCTGTTTTGTATATCACCCAATCTGCAGAAGCTTGCATGAGTCATTGCATGCAGGTGCGGCTGCACATGACAACTTCGGATTCCATCAGCATTGTCCCCACTAACCACGAGGCTTAGATATTTGTCCAGTATGCCCAGGGTTGTGGGGTGGTATCAGTAACCAGCTGGTGAGCATCCTCTCTTACATCAGACACCAAATCTGTAGATCTATGCCATTCATAAGTATTTGGAGTTTAAAATTAGCATAAAGATTTTCCTTAAAATAAGGAAAAATGGCTTGAGTAGGCTTTTGGAATATATGATGTTTCCACTGGTTTATTTCTGTGTTCAGTATCCACACATGAATCTAAACATGAGCCTGCTCTTAGTAGCTGTGTGACCCTGGGGAAGTCACTCAATCTCTCTCAGCTAAATTTTGTCGTAATGAGAAGAGAGTTGTGATTTGTATTTAGGGAATAATAACAAACAAAATGCACTTGGCTTGCTGGAACCTGGTATGTAGTAGATCCTCATGAAATACTAGTTCTGTTGATAAAACTAGAATGAAAGGAGCTTTCAAAGTCAGTAACAACCTCCTGCAGTGAAGGACGTAGATGAGAAGCTGCTGCTGCAGCCTGAGCTCCTGGAGGCCCGTTTTGTCCGTGAATTAGCAGGAATGCACTACCTTTCTATGAGGAGACACTGCCCACAGAAACCAAGGCCATTCTTCGAAGACAAACACGTTTTAATAGCCTTTACATTATGGAATATTGTAATTGATTATTAATAGTGTAAAATTATTTGCATTGCTATGTTGTGGATTCTGTAGACCTTTACACCGAGCTGTTCTGAAGGTGGTCTGGGAGTGGCATCCAGTGGTGACTGACACGCTCTGATCTGGGGCAGAACAGCACATGCCCCTGCGGTTCGCTGAATTTAAGTGCATCGCCACCTTTTTTCAGGAGTGTTTTCCTGTCTTCTAGACTTTTGCCCACTTAAGCAATGGTTTTGCAGTATTTATCAAAATATTACTTTGGAAGACACTGGTTTACATAGTTCATTTTCAAGTTTTCTTAAACTACCAGGTCCACAGCTAATGCCAGTGGCTCCAAAGATGAGAAGGTAAAAAGATCTTTCTTTTACTTTCTCGGAAAACAAAAATAACGACCACATTTTAAACTTCACTGTCTCGTGCTATTCACTGGAAAATTAAAAGTGAACACTCTTCCCTTCCAGCCCAATCACAGCTAATAAATAACCAAGATCTCCTGCAGGTGTCTTTGTCTTGGATGTGTGAGCCTGGAGTTGCTGGCTGGCACTGGACAGCAGGAAGAAGAGCTGGTCCCATTTCTCGGTGCTCTCCCCATTCTGTGGAAGAGCACAGACACATGGAAAAGCCTGGGTCCTGGCCTGGCACTGGCTGAGAAGCTATTTGATGTGAGGCTCATAGTGGACTTCTGAGTTGAAAAGAGAGTATGGGTCATCCAGCCCCACTTACTCCTTTCACAAAGAATGAAAATGGGGCTCTCTGCCAGACATGAGAGTACACATTAAAAGGCTGTGCAAGCTCACCACACTTGTATCCACTCAGCACACACTGATTGAGTGCCGAATGTCTCCAGCATGAGAGGGGCTCTAGTTCCCAGTGTCCCACCCTCCACAGATGACAGCAGCACCTCAAGGGACAGAGGTGCAAAGAGCAATGTGGGGGCCCTTCTACTGGAGAGGTGTCTAGGGAGGGTCCTTAGAGGAAGTGACACCTGAGCTCTTCTCTGAAGAGTGAAGCTGAATTACTTGACGCTTAGAATGAAGAGGTGTCCAGAAAAGTGGAGCCTGTGAGCGAAAAGCCTGAGCATAACTTGTCCAGAGAAGGGTAACAAGTTCCATGTTGTTTTTATGACAAATCTGAACAGAAGTCACCAAATGAAAGAGCAGGATCCTGGAGCCAGGGCCTTGGATTTCACCCACCGGCGATGGGAATGTTCACTGGGAATTTTGCGGGCAAAACACGAAAGTGTTTCCTCTTAGCTCCAATTCGTTCTGTCTCTTTCTGTCCCTCTCTCTCCCTTATCTTTAATTTTTCTATTATCATAAGAAAACACGGATGTCTCAGATGTGGGGATTAGCCGACTGCCTCTTTCTGGATGACTTCAGGGGAGCACTTTGGCCTCTGTGAGCTTATTTACAATAATTCACGAATCTCACAAAAATAAAAATTTAAAAAGTCATGGTAGCAGGGGTTAGAAAATCTCCTAGAATTTCTTCTGATACTTTGAATTTTGATTTATATGTTTAATCTTCATCTTCTGAAAAGCCACCAGTTGCACACTGAGGATGATAAAGGGCCTCTGCTTCTGTGGTTGTGGTTTCAAGTGTCAGTAGTTTTGCAGCAATAGCATGTGGGTTTTAGGCTGATGATGCTGAACAGTGGACAGTTCTCTCACCTGCCTGGCCCCACTGCCCGCCCGTCCATACACTGGGTCACAGCTGAGCTCTCCAGACACCTCGCAGGATCTCAGCTTCTGAACTGTCAGGTGTCATCTAGGTGAAGGCTTGGTCTCATAGCCTTTGTGGCTTTCTCCAAGAAGGTTGGGTTTTTGACGTAACCCCGTATTTGTGTGACATGCGTGTGAATGTGCTCCCTGTGGCAGCACTGAAGAAGGACTGGGTCATTGCAGATGCCGAAAGGCAAATGCAGTGCGCATTTTTCCATCTCTAGTCTTGCATTATTCTTACCCATCAGCCCGTTTGAAAAAGGGGGAAAAAAAAGCCTCCTGTTAGAATTAAACCACCTCTGGAGATAATGGGTACTTTTTAAATCTTTCATTATTTTCAGTCACATTTGGTCCCAGTGCCGCCAGGATCCACTAGGGGGAAGAGACGTCGCGTGTTTGTGCGGCGCTCGCTGAGCGGGAAGGAAAACAGGCGGCCCCGCCTCCAGCGGCGGCCCAAGGCGAGGAAACCTCGGCTCCGCGTCCGCGCCGTCTACGCTGTGCTCGCACACAGGAGGCATCTGCCAGTTTCTCAGTTAAAGAGACAGAAACAAAACGTGTCTTCACTACTTTTTGAATTTACCGTGTTATCTAGTTTTTTAACTTAATCGAATGAATAAACTCCTTATGTATCTTGACACAAATATTTCAAACAAAAATAGTGTTTCGCCAAAAGCTAATTTTTTCGATACGCGAATTTCACTTTTTTCTATCTTTTAGCGATTTTAACGTAATGAAATTGACTTTTCATGCCTCTAAAAGACTTTTTAAAGTATTTCTCCATTTTGAAAAAAAAAATGGCAAAATATCTTCTACTGTACATAGAAGTTAATTGGCTGAGGGTAAAAGAAGATTTAAGAACGACCTTTAACCCCTGACACTCTGCCAAAGGCTGCAGTAAGTTACGTGCCCTGTCGTGGGTTCCCACCCGTGATGGGAGCCGCAGTCTGCAGGCCACGCACTCCCGCTCCTAGAAAAAAGGCCCGTGAGAAAGAGCTCCGTCAGGCTCAGAAAACGTGGGAAACGCTCAGCCCCACGAAGCACCGGCATCCAAATCCTCGCAGCGCGCAGCTCTGGCATCAGGTTCCCGTGAGTACAGACCCGAGATGGATTTCCGGACGGAGGCCGCTGCTGGAGGGACGACGTGACCGCGGACGCTCGTGCTGCTCCCACCCGCCATCCCGCTGGGAGCTGCAGCGATTCACCCCAGCTGGGTGCGCTCTGCGTGTCCCCTGTCAAGGGGCTCCTCAGCTTCCCTTGGTTTTTCCTTTTTAACTCTGTTTTCCTCTCCAGTGGGGGCTGCATCTCACCTTAGAAGAAAACATTTTCCAACTGGGGGCTGTCTGGGTAGCGGGTCCAGGGAAGGTCTCCGCTCTCTGGAGTGAGGGCCAGCCAAGTAACTCCAGCCAGGTCTCCCTGAGTGGGGCTGGATCTGCCCCGTTCTCCTCCCATCCTCGTGCTGACCGTGGAAATCCATCTATGCCCTATGCAGAGTCCTGCGTCTCAGACTGTGAAATGGCAAAAGCAGAATTTAAAACAGATGATTACACTCACTCTAGGAGGCAAAGAAACTTCTGAGGTAGACACTTGGTAACCAAGCGATTGTGTGTAACTTCTCAGAACACCAGGGTGTTTTTAATTGTCTTACTGATTATTTTCTGTTTAACAGGCTGGCTGAGAGCCAGAGAGAAAGCTGCTGGGAATTGAGGGGCATCAGGCAACCTCAGTTCCAACATTTCCATATAAACGATGACGCAAGATGAGCTGGTGGCAGGAGTCCCTGGAAATTCTCACAATCTCAGCTTCTAACTTCTATAAAGTATTATGTCATTTATGATCTCTTTAACAAATCATTTTTTTTCTAACTACAAAACTATATATTCTCCTTGGAGGGTCTTTGGTAAATATGAATTAAAGAAAGAAAAATTATTCATAATTTGGTACTCAAATTTTGATAATTATATTCCTGCATTTTTAACTAAACATGGAAATTTTAGATTATACTGTACATAAAATGTAGTATATATTTTTTCATCCAGTACTACATTATAAATATTTTACATGGAACAAACTATATATACAAATCAGCTATTTCCACACCTGGATGCTGATTTAACCCTCCTTATACTGTTAGCCATTTGACTGATTTCTACTTTATCCTATGAATGACACTTCAACCAGTTATTATTCTTATATATAGCTCATTCACTCACTCATCATTTTGAGCATTTATTTATAATTTAATTGCATATTACCTGAATGATTTCTGGTTATGTGTTTATATGCTTATTCCAAATATAGTGCTAAGATTAGCGTTAGAGACAGGAAAATACTCATGGGTTTTGAAACTAGGAGCCAAACCCAAGTCCGCCGTCCAGCTCTGCACACACTCTCCCAGCCTTAGTTTTCTACACAGAAAGAGAAGGCTATGCTGTGTGATTGCGCATCGCTGTGAAGTCAAAGGAGACACCGATTGCACACGCAGCGGTGAACAGACAGCGGGAGGCTGGGCCCTACCAGCTCTAAGGACAATCACCATCAGACGCCCTACAATCCTACTCTCGGGGTGCTCGTGTGCCATATGTCATGTGTCACTTGGTGAACACATACGTGTTGATTATAAATTACTCCCATGCTGTTTTCTTTGTTTTTACTTGTTCAGAAATCTGTTAAAAAAAAAAAAAAAAGGAAAAAAAGATATAATTATGAAATTTAAAGTTAATTAAAGGGGGGATGTTTTCATTATTTCTGAAATTTAACCCCCCAAATCCAGATTTTAAAGCGAGGAAATGTCTTATGGCCCAACACTTGACATCAATACTTTTTGGATGTTAGGGGGCAGAGGAGGGTAGTGAAAGTGATGGAATCAGAGCTCTGATGGCTGCACACTGTCACCCTGCAAATCCAATTCTGGTCCAGCCTTCCTTCCTCACTGGGGCTGCTCTATCCTTCTCGGCACATTTGAACTGCTCCCCTGTGGGCCATTCCCATTGGCTTTACTTCCTAGTCTGAATTCCATGGGACCTGCAGTTAAGAGGAGAGGGGAGCCACTTCGGGACTGGAGAAAGTTCACCTCATGGATATGCCTGCCTCCTTCCTCTGCAGTGAGCAGTCTCTGGGGTCCCTGGATGTTCGGTTTCTTTCCAGCCATGTGTTACTGACTGTTCAGGTGGCAAATGGCCCATGACCTTTATGGTATTTAAGGGAAAAAAATTAAAAGTTTTTTTTAAAAACTTTTATTTTAGGTTTGGGGGTACATGGGAGGGTTTGCTATATAGGTAAACACGTGTCACATGGGTTTGTTGTACATATTATTTCATCATCCAGATATTGATTCCAATACCCAATAGTTATCTTTTCTGCTCCTCTCCCTCCTCCCACCCTCCCATCTCAAGTAGACCCCAGTGTCTGCTATTCCCTTCTTTCTGTTCACAGGTTCTTATCATTTAGCTCCCACTTATACGTGAGAACATGTGGTATTTGGTTTTCTGTTCCTGCACTAGTTTGCTAAATATAATACCCTTCAGCTTCATCCACATTAATGCAAAAGACATAATCTCGTTCTTTTTTATGGATGCATAACATTCTATGGCATGTATGTACCACATTTTCATTGTGATTAATGGGCATCTGGGTTGTTTCTATGTCTCTGCTATTGTGAATAGTGCTGCAGTAAATATTTACATGCACGTATCTTCATGGTAGAATGATTTACATTCATCTGGGTATACACCCAATAATGAAATTGCTAGGTCAAACGGTAGTTCTGCTTTTAGGTCTTTGAGGAATCACTATACTGCTTTCCACCATGGTTGAACTAACTTACACTCCCACCAATAGTGTATAATTGTTCACTTTTCTCCATAACATTGCCAGCATCGTTTTTTGTTTTTTTTTTTTTACTTTTTAGTAATAGCCATTCTGATTGGTGTGAGATAGTATCTCACTGTGGTTTTGATGAGCATTTCTCTAGTGATCAATGAGATAGAGCTTTTTTCATATGCTTGTTTGCGATATGTTTGTCTTCTTTTGAGAAGTGTCTCTTCATGACCTGGAGCCATTTTTTGATGGGGTTATTTTTCTCTTGTAAATTTAAGTTCCTTATAGATGCTGGATATTAGACCTTTGTCAGATGCAAAGTTTGTACATATTTTCTCCCATTCTGTAAGCCGCCTGTTTACTCTGTTGATAGTTTCTTTTGCTGTGCAGAAGCTCGTTAATTAGATACCACTTGTCAATTTTTGATTGCATTATAATTGCTTTTGTTGTCTTTGTCACAAAATCTTTGCCTGCCCATAGCCAGGATGGTATTGCCTGGGCTGTCTTCCAGGGTTATTATATTTTGGGATTTTACACTTAAGTCTTTAATCAATCCTGAGTTGATTTTTGTGTATGTAAGAAAGGGGTCCAGCCTCAATCTTCAGCACATGGCTAGCCAGTTATCTCAGCACCATTTATTCAATAGGGAGTCTTTTCCCCATTGCTTGTTATTGTCAGAAGAGCTGTGTTTTTAAGTCTTTGCCCAACATACCTTTAACTATTGACTACATCTCTTCCCCAATCAACAGGCTCCAGGAAATGGGACAGGATTCTGGGAAATAAATAGCTGACCCTGAGACAACACAGGTGAACACAGGCAAGCTGCTGCATAATAAGTAACCAAAATGGGAGTCTTTCATTAAATATTAAACAATGACAGGCTGAGGATGTGAGCATGTTACCATCGCAGGTTGGAAGAGCTAACTATGGCTAAATAGTAGAGCCTCAGATTTTAGCTCTGGAAGACCCATGGGTTTTAATCCATGCTGGGAGAAGCTCAAGGTTACTCTGGAGAAACACATAGTTTGGGGCAGCTGGAGACTGAGGGGTGGGCTCTCATTCCCTGGCTTCTTCAATAATTCTGATCTAATTTATAAATCAATTACAGGAAAAGGATTCAAACAACTCAACCATATTCCCTATTATTTGGTCAAAGCCATCCGCCCTCAGGTTTCTTGCCGCTGCAGCTGTGGCTTCCACTCTCCGCCTGCTCTCCTGCTTAGGCTGGGGTGGCCAAAGTCCTCTTGCTGGGGAGAGAGGTTAGGGAGGGAACCGTTTTTTGACTTTTTTAGGGTGTGGTTCAGTTGTAAACAGTGTAAGTTTTAGAATTTGTGTTACTGTGATGGTGATGACCTACTGCAAAATATTTCCCATTTACCTTGCAATAACAAGAGGATATATTTTACAAAATTGAAGGTTTTGGATCCTACTTATTTACTTTATTAAGAATAGTGAAATCTGAACAGAGAAGGGTTCTAACTTTGCATCAGAGTCAAAAGTGAAAATGAAAGGAACTGACCCATGAAGGAACCGGTGTGAGCTGTTTGCTTCATTCCTGCCGGTCCTGGTTGATGTTCAGCTCTGGCCCTGAATCCCACTTTCAAATGTAGTGGCTCCCTCACCTAGGAAGGCCCTCCCCACACTGGCTCCCTCTGCTCACCCAACTGTACTTGCTTTTCTTAATCCCCTGCGAACACCGTTTTCTAGATTGGGTGTGTTTTCTGTAATAAACAGGTATTGTTGCACACTTACTGAGGACTTTTTGGATGCCATGCTAAGCATTTCAGAGTCATGAGCTCATTGTACACTTTATAACACTCCTGTGAATTTATATTCCCATATGAATTGGCCTGAGGAAGTGGCGTGCTGGAGTGATTAAGTAATTAAATGACAGCGCAGTTAATTACTGAGGGGATTTGGGTTTGGACCTGGATCTGACTCAAACACTTAAGTCTATAACCACAAGTGTTGCCATATCATTTACATCAGGATTTAGAATCCCTGCTGGCAGGCTGGGAAGATGCATTGTAACCAGATGAGAGGTAATCACCACATTTACTGAGTTGTGAGAACCACCATACTGCCTTTCATAGAGTGCCAGGCCCTCCTGTGTTTGCCTCGGTGTCTCCAGCTTGAATTGCCTCACCCCTGGCTCTCAGCAGTGCTGCACCTCTCTCCTGCATGGATCACCTGTTCCTGGAGTTCATTTCTCCCATTCCTCAGGTTGCCACTTCACTGTAGCTTCCTGAGAAAAGGTAAAGCTTTGATGCTGTGTCCCAAAGTGCCTGTGCTCTATTCTCACACTGGGTTGATGGTTTAGTTGGGTTTAATATATATACATATATATATATACAATACATATACATATATATAAAATCTCAGAATGTGAAGGCTAAATTTCATTTTCCTACCATTTTGGTTCTTGATTCTTTGTAGGTGATTTTTTAAATTATTATCATTATAAGTTCGGGGGTATAAGTGCAGAATGTGCAGGTTTGTTACATAGGTATATCCGTTCCATGGTGGTTTGCTGCACCCATCAACCTGTGATCTACATTAGGTATTTCTCCTTATGCTATCCCTCCCCTATCCCCCATCACCAACAGGCCCTGGTGTGTGATGTTCCCCTCCTTGTATCCATGTGTTCTCATTGTCTCACTCCCACTAATGAGAACATGTGGTGTTTGGTTTTCTATTCTTGTGTTAGTTTGCTAAGAATGATGGTTTCCAGCTTTATCCATGTCCTTGCAAAGGACATGAACTGATCCTTTTTTATGGTTGCATATTATTCCATGGTGTATAAGTGCTACATTTTCTTTATCCAGTCTATCATTCATGGCCATTTGGGTTGGCTCCAAGTATTTGTTATTGTGAACAATGCTGCAATATACATACTTGTGCATGTGTCTTTATAGTAGAATGATTTATAACCCTTTGGGTATATACCCAGTAATGAGATTCGTGGGTCAAATGGTATTTCTATTTCTAGATCCTTGAGGACTCATCACAGTGTCTTCCACATGGTTGGACTAATTCACTCAATTTTGTATCCTGAGACTTCGCTAAAGTTGTTTATCAGATTAAGGAGATTTGGGGCTGAACAACGAAGTTTTCTAAATATACAGTCATAAAATCTGCAAACAATTTGACTTCTTCCCTTCCTAATTGAATACCCTTTCTTTCTCTTGCCTGATTGCTCTGGCTAGAACTTTCAATACTATGTTGAATAGGAGTGGGGAGAGAGGGCATCCTTGTCTTGTGCCAGCTTTCAAAGGGAATGCTTCCAGCTTTTGCCATTCAGTATGATATTGGCTGTGGGTTTGTCATAAATAGCTCTTATTATGTTAAGATACGTTCCATCAATACTAGTTTATTGACAGTTTTTAACATGAACGTCTGTTGAATTTTGTCAAAGGCCTTTTCTGCATCTATTGAGATAATCATGTGAATTTTGTCATTGGTTCTGTTTATGTGATGGATTACATTTACTGATGTTGCGCCAGCCTTGCATCCTGGGATGAAGCAGACTTGATCGTGGTGGAAGAGCTTTTTGATGTGCTGCTGGATTCGGTTTGACAGTATTTTATCAAGGACTTTTGCATTGATATTCATCAGGGATATTGGCCTGAATTTTTCTTTTTTTATTGTGTCTCTGCCAGGTTTTGGTATTAGGATGATGCTGGCCTCATAAAATGAGTTAGGAAAAATTCTCTTTATCCGTTGTTGGAATCATTTCAGGAGAAATGGTACCAGCTCCTCTTTGCACCTCTGGTAGAATTCGGTTGCGAATCCATCTGGTCCTGGACTTTTGTTTTGTTGTTTGTAGGGTATTAATTGCTGCCTCAATTTCAGAACTCGTTATTGGTCTATTCAGGGATTTGACTTCTTCCTGGTTCGGTCTTGGGAGGGTGTATGTGTCCAAGAATTTGTCCATTTCTTCTAGATCATCTAGTTTATTTGCATAGAGGTGTTTATAGTATTCTCTGATGGTAGTTTGTATTTCTGTGGGATTGGTGGTGATATCCCCTTACCATTTTTTATTGTATCTATTTGATTCTTCTCTCTTATTAGGCTGGCTAGTGGTCCATCTATTTGTTGATCTTTTCAAAAAACCAGCTCCTGAATTCATTAATTTTTTTCAAAAGCTTTTCATGTCTCTACCTCCATCACTTCTCTCTGATCTTCGTTATTCCTTGTCTTCTGCTACCTTTTGAATTTGTTTGCCCTTCCTTCTCTAGTTCTTTTAATTGTAATGTTAGCATGTTACTTTCAGATCTTTCTTGCTTTCTCTTGTGGGCATTTAGTACTATAATTTCCCTCTACACACTGCTTTAAAATCCCAGAGATTCTGGTACGTTGTGTCTTTGTT